CCAATGAATAGTAGGATTGACCGTCATATTATAACGCCCCCACGGCTGAAAGGAGGAGAATGTTTGGTGGGACGGGGATTCGAACCTGCGACCCTCAGATTGCGAGTCGAGCCCCCTAACCACCTGGCCATGCCGGGCAAAGATGTAACATATTAGACATTGTAAACCATAAACAACATTGAAATAAAATGATGTATTATTAATCTTAATATGTTAACGTATATGCTTTACAGCATATAAAATATTTTAAGTGTATAAAATTTAACATTGGGAAATAAAATTAACATGCTCAAAAATTTGATTTTAACATTATTGTTAAAAGGCATAAGCTGACAGAAATCAGAATGTATAAATGATTTAAGCAATTTTGCGAAGATAATCTCTTAATCGGATAAAGTATTTAATTTTATGCAGTTCATTGAATGCCATAGTTCATTCCCCTCTATGGCCATATTATGCTTTAATGGACGGTACTTAGTAGTTTATTTCCACAATACAAATATCATTCTAATCAAATGATCAGTAATATGTTTCTTCTTAATTTGGCTCTAAAAATAGTTTATTGCTTATTTCAAAACACTATAATTCTTATTAGCTTATTTGTTTTCTATTTGCAAGTGAGAAAAAGTGAAAATAATCGTTAATGTTTGAATTCAAATTATATACTGTTTTTTACACTGAAAAAAAAACAAGCAAAGAATAATAAATATGTTAAGTGTTATATGTAAAGGTCAAATCATGTGAATCACCTCTAAGATCGTTGTTATGCGAATAAAGCATCTGGTGACCAGTCACGTGTTCTGTAACGAAAAGTATAGGGCATTCTAACAAAGTATTGTTTCAGTTAACATTCGGAACAGAAACACGGAGTTCATAGCTCTCCACGTTCTTCATAAATCTTGGCTTGACATCAAATAATACCTTGGGATGTTAAATTAATATGGGTATATGCCATGAGAAGCTCCAAAAGTGTTGTTAAGGAAATGTGGAACTACTTTTAATCTTTTGGTGCACTTGCTCGAACACCTGGTAAATACTGGACATCTTTTCAAGATACCTATTAATTCTGGCTCCTTGAAACCGTAGAGTACCTACTCTGAGACTGAATCAGATGTTCACAACCGTAATTGGTCACCGCATCACTTTACAAATGGTTAGAAACAAACTTTACAATGCTGGTCTGTATGCCGGTGGGGAGTAAAGTACATTCTGCTCACCTGAAGGCTGAAAGCAGTTTATATATTCATTGTATAAAATCTGTAACCAGATATTGTCCCATTTTTTTATAGGATCTTAATGCATGTAGCAGTGGTGTGAACATTAATAGACATTTAGCCTCTACATCTTGCGGAATTATACCATTAACGCCACACGTAAACAGAATCACATCCTATAACCTATGGTTCTGTCATACGCAAATGCAACGGATGTTGTCTTAAACCTAACGAACGATAATACCACTCACCAGGCTAAACTATAGGACTCATTCTTTACCAAAAAAAGGATTAACCAGATGGAGCTGTATTCAAACAACTTGTCAAGTGGATCCATAAAGAATTATGCTCTAGGAATAACTGTTTCAGAGGAGTGGACAACCATGCCTCAGTACCTTATTAATAAACACAAAATCGGTTCAAAACTTTTCTTGTTGTCTGTGATGATAAAAATACATTCATGTCATGAAGTGTAAATTCGTGAAACAAGTTTCTCAGTTTGTTTCCTTATAACCTAGACTGAGTGAACAATAATTTGTATTCTTTATCATATGACAGATCATCAGGTGCTTGATTTACATAAAATCAAACACGAGTTCAATGACACTATTTCGCTTTGTAAAGCATAGGATATTGTACACCACCAAATATCCTTTTATTGTCTTATGTACTCTATTTAGATGCTAATTATATTTATTAAAATGACTGCTCGTTGAAGAATTTCTTCAAAGACTACGACATTTGGTACCTGCCCCCCAGTGGCACAGCAGTATGTCTGCGGACTTACAAAGCTAGAAACTGGGTTTCGATACCCGTGGTGAATAGAGCACAGATAGCCCATTGTGTAGTTTTGTGCTTAACTTCAAACAAACGAACATTTGGATCGGCATGGCCAGGTGGTTAGGGCGCTCGATTCGCAATCTGAGGGTTGCAGGTTCGAATCATCGTCCCACCAAACATTCTCCTCCTTTCAGCCGTGGGGGGCGTTATAATACGACGGTCAATCCTACTATTCGTTGGTAAAAGAGTAGCCGAAGAGTTGGCGTTGGGTGGTGATGACTAGATGCCTTCTCTCTAGTCTTACACTGCTAAATTAGGGACGGCTAGCGCAGATAGCCCTCATGTAGGTTTGCACGAAATTCAAAAAAATAAACAAACAAACATACAGAGCCATGAAATAAACAACTGGACCCCTCTTGTCATGCCCGTCTGTCACGGACTCTCTTTCAGAAATTGCCAATAGTTCTTTATGAAGTTCAATACTATATTACTTTTTATAACCAACAGAAACCAAAGGTTTTCATCTATTAAATGTGGCATACCAGCTCATAGAATGGCTCTAAGGTTTTATTCAAGTATAAACTTTTAGCTTATAACTGTCATCTCATGACCATCTTGAGATCTAATTAAACTTTTGGACTCAGGAGATCAAACCCTTTTGATTTGACCGTGCTTAAGGTCTCTTAGATTAAATTACTTTAATCCTCCCTAAAAGAATCTTAATTTGAGGGTAGGCTGGTGGAGATTCCGATGAGTAATAAAATCAAATCTGGTATATGCGAGCCGCACACTTGGTATTGCTGGCACACAAAAATATAGCTAAAAAAGGAATTGTATATTAATTTACTCTAATCCTGCCTAAAAGTATTTCAGTTAGAGGATAGGCTGGTAGAGATCCTGATGAGTAATAAAATTGAATCTTATATACGTGCGCCGCACACTTGGTATTGCTGGCACACAAAAATATAGTGAAAAAAAGGTTTCATAGATTAATTTACCCTAATCCTGCCTAAAAGAATTTCAGGTGCCGTGGCTATTGATGATTCCCTCCTATTTTTGTTTTTTATTGGTTATGAGGTCAGTCAAATTGACCAACCTGGTGTAATGGTAGGGTAGAGAAAATAACATAAAAATAAACTTTTACTGAAAGAAAACATTTGAAATTTATTTAGGAGGTCTTCCTGTAGTGAAGATTAACTGTAGTGACAGGTTATACGGATTAACTGTAGTGACAAGTTAAACGGATTAACTGTAGTGACAAGTTATACGGATTAACTGTAGTGACAGGTTATACGGGACTACAGTTAATCCGTATAACCTGTCACTACAGTTAAGGACCAGTTATACGGATTAACTGTAGTGACCAGTTATACGGATTAACTGTAGTGACCAGTTATACGGATTAACTGTAGTGACAGGTTATACGGATTAACTGTAGTGACAGGTTATACGGATTAACTGTAGTGACAGGTTATACGGATTAACTGTAGTGACAAGTTATATAGATTAACTGTAGAGACAAGTTATACAGATTAATTGTAGTGACCAGTTATACGGATTAACTGTAGTGACACTTTCGAATCATTTGTTCAGTTTTAACACAATTATTTTATTGTGTAGAATGACTATGATACCTACAGTAGATCATCAGGAACTAGAAATATTTACACATAGTTTAAAATCATGAAAATTAACTTAGAGTGTAAAGTTTCTGTTGAGTTTTTTAGATGTTCACTTTGTGAAACTATTTTTATAGACAGCATTGAAGCTAACGTTGAGAGTACCAGCATACACGTTGAAGAAGGAACACAGCAGCTGGCTAAGGCACGTCAACATCAGGTAAGTTGGCTGTTGTTTTTACTGTTGTAGACAACACTCGCTGCCTAAGTTTATTTTCATGTTCAATAATAAATTACTTTTTACATTTCTGTTAAAACCTGTCTGGATATTTTCCTTAAAGCTTTCAAACTAATTAATTATTTTTAATTAACTCTCAGTTTGTTCCTTTGGAGAAGACCTTTTGTTAATGAATATTAATTTGTACAAAGTATTAATGTATTGATTTGTACAAATTATTGATGTATTAATTTGAACAAAGTATTGATGTATTAATTTGAACAAAGTATTGATGTATTAATTTGTACAAAGTATTGATGTATTGATTTGTACAAAGTATTGATGTATTGATTTGTACAAAGTATTGATGTATTGATTTGTACAAAGTATTGATGTATTGATTTGTACAAAGTATCGATGTATTGATTTGTACAAAGTATCGATGTATTGATTTGTACAATTTGTATTCTAATTTGCTTTAACTAGATCACTTGTTAAATGAAGTTTATTACATTGACTGTCGACATTTATTTTCATACAAGTAACCTGTCAAGTTAAGAGCAGACATTGTATATTAAAAAGTTTTATAGCACTGATTTTACTTGTTAGAACATGTATTTTATATGTATTTTTTAACATTTTTACAACACGTGTATCTACAGTTTCTTATCAAAATCTGTATATATAAAAAAGTTTTTAAAATGAAATAAATTATGAAGTATATCTACAGTAATTTGTACACATTAATTTGATGAGGTATCTCTTTGTTTTGCTCAAGATTAACACTTTTAAAACATGTAAACATTTATGCTTATATTTTGAACTTCGTGTTCTAACTTCTTTTTTTTTAAGATTTCTATGTTTTTACTCATTGTATGAAATATTTCAGGCAGTAAACTATCTTTGGTTCTGTATAGACTATACTCGAGAGATAAAACTATCCAGTGATTGTTAAACAGTAAATTCTTGTTTTTTTTTTTTTACGGCAATCTTAACACTTATGTTTTCTGTTTAGGCTAAAGCTCGTAAGAAAAAGTGCTGTCTGCTAGTTTTTGGGTTGATTATCATAGCAGTGGTGGTGATCATCATAATCTTTACAACCCAAAAAAGTTCATGAATAAATGACAGAGTAAGTTGGACAATATTATTGTAGCAATAACAGTAAAATGCAAGTAAAAATGTATAAGGAAAAAGTATGGTTAAATTTTTAACTTCTGAATTTCATTATTGTAGTAGACCTAACTTAGCATTTTTGGCTTCTGAAAGTCAAGCTATAATGAAATTTAAATCTCAGTACTTGAAATTTGGGCAATTCACCTTTTGTTAAAGGTTTATACTTAAAGTTTAGGTGTTTTACCTTTTTATTAAAATTTGATATTTAAAACCCACATACTACTAACTTTGATACATAACACTTGGCTGCTTTACCTTTTGTAAAAGGATCGTTTCTAATTATTTATGTTAATATCTTGTTACAAAACATAATTTATACAACAGTTTTATTTGTTTCGCCTTTTTATTTTATTTTTATTATTTGTACAAAAAGTTGCACATCAAAAGTTTCTTGTATTTTAAATGTACAGAAACTGTAAAATTTACTTTTTAAAAGTTTGTTTTTTAAAAAGTTATGTATAAAGATTGATTGGATAAGCTAAAGAAAGTTGCATATGTTGTTTACAGATAAAACTTAAAGTGCCTGTAGAGGTTTATTGGAAGTGATATAAATTAAGCTGGAGTAAGTTAAGTGAAATGAAACTAAGTAGTATAAAGAAGAAACCTCGGAAGAGTTCCCTGTATTTCCCTTTTATAATCGAGTTTTCGGGAGCATACTCTTTCGTTGTCAAATGTTGTTTTTTCTGTGGTCTTTAACTTGCATTATATATGAATAATAAAAAAACTAATTATGTGCAGTAAAGAAAACAACATGTTACAGTAAAATAAGACAAAGTTGATTTAATGGGATTAAGACAAAAGGAAATTGTTAGGCTTAAAAAGAGCTCATTTGAAATGAATTGATCTATAGAAAGTTTAATCTGATGACATAAACTTTGAAGTAATTAAGTTGATTGAATGGGATTAAGATAAAGGAAATTGTTAGGCTTAAAAAGAGCTCATTTGAAATGAATTGATCTATAGAAAGTTTAATCTGATGATATAAACTTTGAAGTAATTAAGTTGATTTTATGCCTTTTTAATGTGTTACTTTTATAATTTTTATTTCCTTGTTTCTTTAGACAGCAGATTCTTCTTTATGTCTTGAATATGGTGGTTGTTTTATGGAGTTACTTATCTATTTTATACATTTTCTACTTTTCATTTATTTTCAGCTAGTCTAGTGTATGATTGGAGCCCATGAATAATCCTTTTGCTGTTGCTGAAACCGTGTAATTCTGTGTTAGGTGCTGAATTATACAAGTTAGACATAATTCTACTCGTTCTTTGTTTTCCAATGAAATAAAAAAGAATTCAATATAAAATAAAAGAAGCTTACATTCCATTATTAATCCTGTAACGTTAAAATCCAATAATTTGGATGTCATCAGCATTTTTTAATTTATCGTGAAAAACTATTGATGCTAAACAATATTTTGAGTTGAAATAAATTTTGTTAAAAACAAACCTTGAATCACGTCTAGATCTAGTGAGCTAAAAGGTGAGTCGTATTAATAGTGTGAACCCAAACTGTTTGTATAGTGACAAGTGATGAATGAAGTATAAATTCCACTAAATTATATAGATGATCAAAGTTATATATTTTGTTACTTTGATAATGAGGATCTTGTTGTGCATCACAGTAACACTCGTCAGTTTAAGTTTGTGACATATCAACTAGCAAATTACATATAAACAGTGTTTGAAAGATTAGCATTTTCTCCTGTTGTTACTGCTAATTATCTTGGTTACAATAAATACTATAATAAAATATACTATGGTGTTTATAATAAACTTGTTAAATGTATATTAGTTACAAATGTTTATATTTAAAAACGTATATTTACATAAATATTTATGTATACTGTAAATTTTTGTGAATGAAATTTTTAATGAATTGAGTTTTTATGTGATGAGAATAACTAGTATCCTCCAGAAAATAAGTGGATAATTGCTTAATATTTCTTAGTTTAAACGAAATTGTTCTTCAAGTTGAACTGTTGTTGAGCGTACCCTTTTCGTTGATTCTTCTATGGTCTCTCAGCTCAATAAGGTACAAGTTTTCAAGAATATTTATTATTATTTAGAAACGAATATTTGATGTTTTTGCATCAAGCTGATAGAATTTACTTCTGTAGGTATTTAATCCTTAATCCTAATAAAACAGTAATTAATGTTTGAGAACTAAGTTGATCTCGTGTTACTGATTTTGTTAGTCATAAATTTTATTTTAATAAATGTATTAATCTACGGTATTAATCATTAAAACACTGAACATAATATCCTAGTTTATTTCATGGATGATAGAGGGCGATAGGATATAAAGCCTGTTGAGCTTTCCCAACTTATTGTGTACCACATAGCAGGAAACGTCAGATATTAAATGTATTATTTTCATTTATATGGTTTGATATTATATTGGTAAAAATGATAATTTTTATTTGAGTATACATTTGATTGAAGAAAGAGCCGTCATGTTTTAATGTGCGAGATTTGTTAATTTCTCCAAATTTTCTATATTTAACAGAATAAAAGTTGTTTATAGTTTTGAAACCTGCTTGTTATTATTATGATATTTCTCAATACTCTAGAAAATCAACAATTTAACAAGTGATAAATCTGAACAAGGAGAAATATGACCAAAATTGCATGACATTATTTTACATACTATGGTAAATTTCAGATGGAAAAAAGATCTGATAACATTAATAGGTTTAACAAATTTATTACTTACATTTTGTATCTAATTTAAACATGGAAATTATTCGATCTAGTGAGAAAATGTTTTATTATTTTAACCTGTTACACTGTTTAGATGACTTAAGTGATTTTTTTTTTATCACAACACCAAGATCTTTTTCTTCAACCACAGTATTCCCATTTAAATTGTAATAATAATTTCAGCTGTGAAAACCTACATGAATCACCTTATATTTTAGATAGTTAAACATCATCTGCCACATATTTTCAAATGATCTAAATCTCCATGTAAGTCTGCAGCATCTTTGATACAGTTAACCAACTTCAATATTTTATTAGTCAATATCATTAATATAAATCACAAACAGCAGAGGACCTAGCACAGAGCCCTGAGGTACATCGCTTGTAATTGTGACCCAGTCAGATCTAACTCTATTTATAACTACTCTCTGCTTGCTCTTCTCCGGCCTATTTTCTATCCCACTTAACAACATTTCCCCCACATCCACAGATTTAATTTTTGTAACAAGTCTTGGGTGAGGCATCTTATCAAATGCTTTCTTAAAATCGAGGTAGACCAAATCCACAGTATTTCCTTCATCAACTCTTGCAGTAACATCCTCAAAGAATGTCAGAAGATTTGTTAAACAAGACTTAGTGAAACCATGCTGGCTCTTTGACACTATATCAAACTGCTTTAAGTGACTCTACAATGCATCTTTAATCACACTCTCCAAAACCTTTCCAACTATTGACGTAAGACTAACTGGCCTATAATTACCTGTACAATGTTTATCATTTTTAAATATTGGACTAACATTAGCTAACTTTCAATCTTCTACGACTCAATGACCTATAAAAAAAATATTAGCTAGCGGTTCACAAATAAAATAGTTTCTTTAAAACTCTAGGATAAGAGCTGTCTGGTCCAGTGGATTTATCAATTTTTAGGTTCCCAACTTTTCTCGTACAATGTTAGAACTTAAAATGATATCTTTTACATCAGTATTTTCCATACATTAAGTGCTCTGGTTGAGGCATAATACTTTTATCTTCATTCGTAGAAACTGAAGAAAACATATAATTTAATAAATTTACCATCTCATAATGTGATGGTCATTCCCACTATTCGTTAGTAAAAGAGTAGCCTTCCCTCTAGTTTATCACTGCTAAACTAGGGACGACAAGAATCAAATCATATCCAAATGTTCGTTTAAAATTGGAACTTATTAACATATTCCTGAAATTTGTTCTAAATGGTTACTTGAAGTTGGTCAAATAATTTTCCTCAACTTCTGTGATGTTAATTACTTGTATTTTCACTGTAGTAACATTTCTACGTATGGATAACTAAAACCAGTTAATGTTAATTACTTGTATTTTCACTGTAGTAACATTTCTACGTATATCTACACTTTGGGGATGAGAGTAACTATTTTGTAATAATTACTTAGCGAAGTCATCATTATGACTACATACACGGTTTTTTGTATAAACAAGCAACGCGTGGTTTATCCAATACCTGTAAATACCTCGGTTGTCATGTGTACACAACGAACTGGGTCAAATTCTACTAAAACTTTACAGGAATCTTGGATAGTGTAAAAGTGCTATTAAAAGAATGATTAAGTTTAAAATACCTCTAAAGAATTTCTGGGTGAAGGAAATAGTACACTTGTATTTAATGAAAACAGAATAATAAGATTTACATCTAGTCGTGGGGAAATAAATAATCGGTAAATCTAATGAAAAGTGAAAAACGACAAACAAAATTACACTTATCCAAATGTAACTATTCAGTCGCTGAAAACTGAAGGAGAATAAATGAGCCTTTAACTACATACTATAATTGTTTCCTGCATATAAGGATAATCATCAAGTTAACATCTATTCTTCGGTGAAGTCTTGAAAGCTTTGATAAATGTTTCGTAAACAGGCATTTTCTTAGTTTAGCATAAGTTTTGGGAAAACAGCAGCTATTTGTCAATCTCAGCTGTTCCATCGTCTAAACTAAATTATAATAATTTTGAAAACATCTTAAAGCCAGCCCTTATCATTCATGTATTTATCAAGCATTTTTATAAACTCACTTAAATGTACTGCTTCTACAACATCCAAAGGCCAACTATCCTGTTAAAAAAATGAAACTGTCTTAGTCGAAGGTGATATCTACCTTGCCAAAATTTATATTTGTGTTCCATTGTCCTACTATTCTCACTGTTAAGTATGAAAAAAGATGATGCATCAACACTATCAATTCCCTTTATAATCTTAAACACCTCAATCAAATCCCCCTAACGCTTCTTTTTTCAAGAGAAAATCTCGTATGACAACCCCTTCATCCCAGGCACCATTCTAGTAACCCTTCTCTGAACCTTTTCCAAAAAGTCAATGTTTTCCTAAGGTAAAGAGCCCAAGACTGAATACAATATTTCAAATGTGGCCTCACCAGTGCCCAGTACAATGAAATTATAACCTCTTTAGACTTGTATTCAATATTTCTGTACGTACAACCTAAAACCCTATTTGCCACTAGCAACAGCACACTGCTTAGATGGCTTTAGAGACTGGTCGACTATTACACCAAGATCCATTTCGTTTATAACACTGTTAAGGTTATTCCCATCCAAAATATACTTATGATTCAAATTATGATAACCCACATGTATTACTTTGCATTTATTATAACTAAAACCCATCTGCCATTGATTTGCCCAAATCACTAAATGAAAAAAAGAGCAAAGGTCCTAAGACTGAGTTCTGAGGTATCCCACTTGTGACATTAATCCAGTTTGACTGAACTCCATTTGTAATAACCCTCTGCTTTCTCCCAAATAGATTGGTAGAATATCCTTACATGATTCTAATACAACATGTGAAGAAGACTTATTACCCATATCTGTCTACGTATCGATATGTAATCACTCTGCTATATAACATCAAGAAATTTCTCGTTGGAAAAGTAGCTTACCCAACTTTAATATATTCCATGTCCAAAATAAACCACAGTGTTATAAATCTGCCATCCTTCTCCTGAAGAAGGATGTCTTTCAAACCTAGGTTAAGTAGTTAGCACACAGGATCACCCACAAAAGTTGTAATATTTTCAAACCTGTCATCTTTCTCCAGAGGAAGAGCGATTTTCCAGAAACCTGAAAATAAAGTTTTTCTCCCTTTTAATGTGTGGATGACAACAAACACTTGATTTTATGTTTTAATAGCTATTTTCTATAACCTACTGTAACTAAATAAGTCTGGCATTAACTATATACGAAGAAATGAGGAAATTTAATCATACACTCGTTCAGCCAATAATGTGAAGCAAGCAGAGGTTCTTTAAATAATGCTTTCAGTATCATATCCTTTTGATTTGAATTATAGTTTAGAAAACGTTTCTCACGCCCAACAAGTTCATTAAGTTTCTTGTTCTTTCGGGATTGGAATGAAGCTCTGTTTCCACTAACAAGAGATATCAAAATATTTATGCATTAAGTGCTTAACTTCCGTAAAAACTGAGCTTACTATGTCTTGAAATTTCGGTTAAATACGGTGATATCCTTACGATCTTCGGATATTCCAAGGAATAACTCAAGTTTTCTTTGCAGAAATATTTAGTTAACGTTTAGTAGGTTCAAGAGAAAACACTTAAATAAAATGGCTGCGTTGTATTTGCAGGAAATTTCAATTATATTAAAAGAAAAATATGGTAAAAGGTTTTCGAAGAAACGCAGAAAAAATTATTTACTCTATCTAAATATTTAAGTTATATAAATACATGGGACGAGGGTGTCTTAGTGTTTAGCGTGCCAGACAAAGAATATGTAGCTCTAATTATCTGGTCCTGTTAGTTAAAAAATAACAATCGAACTTCACATTTTCGGGACATTAGTGAGTTATAAGGTGATGGTCAAATCCCATTTTTCGGTCAGACAGCAGTAGTCGAAGAGTTAGGGGAGGGTGCTGTTGAGTTACCTTCATTATTCGTTCAGACAAGAGTAGCCTAAGACTTCACAGTGGTTGCTGTTGACTATTTGCTTTCCCTCTGGTCTTTCAGTTGAAAATTAGGGAGTAAGTCTTTGAGTCACCTTACTCCAATATCCGCAAAATGAAAAAATTAAAAAAGTATTGTTACGTCTCCGTTAGTTAATTGATTTTTCCGTAACTTCGTTCCGACGAAATTTTAACGACACAAGTCTTTACTTAATAAAACTGGTTTATTCTTTCCGAATATAACTTTACCGATACACTCAACTTCAACAATCGCGCTAAACAAACGAACGTCAATAATACTTCTGACTGCAGTTCAATTACTCACTCTCTAAACACACATTACAATCCCCTCTTTTATATACCAGCCTACCCTATATCTAGTAAGAACTAGAACATTCCCCAAAGTACATGATAGTTCTAGAAACTTTGCGTCACAGTAGTCATGTGACTCGATGACGCAACACTGCCCCCTCCTTAGTATTGTTCGTCCCGAACAATAACCACATACAATAAACCAATAACAATTACTTAATTAAAATGTACAGAATTACAAACACAAAATTACAATTCAACAAAGTCTCTTAATTTTTCGGGACGTATCTTCTTCCGTACTGGTCTCCGTCTCGTTGGCTTCTGCTTCATGTGGGATTCATCTGCTTCATCAGTAAATGTCCTATCATCGGTAAAAGTCACATCAGTGTTAGTAACTTCACCAAGAGCTTCACCGTTTCCCTTCTCCAAACTGAGTAGAGTTTCTTCTTCGACGGTGGCTTCTTCAGGTGGCACGTCTTCAGCAGCGTCATTTGTTCTGTGGTCCACTTCGTCCCAACTGAAATGTCCTGGACCATGATAACGCCAAAGCCTGTTGGCATGCACCACTTTTGGTTTACC